ATAATATAATATAATATAATATAGGGATCTTTCCTTCCCGGCCCGTCTTCGCACATCAGCCAGGGAGCCGGAAGGGCTGTATCGAGTCCATCGATCCCAACGGTGCCTTAAACACGATGGTCTTGTCCAGACCTCTCAGGAGGTTGTTCTAATGCACATCAGAGCTGCAAGGGAACTTAGCTCTGGGTTTGTTCCGAGCCGTTCCGAGCCCATTGACGCGGACATCACTGAATGTTAATGAAAATTGTCCGCGAACCCGGAAGAGACCTGACTTGTCAGATGACAGAGGCCCGGAGGCCTGCGGCTTTGGCCGCGTACTCCACTGTGTACCTCGGCACCGACATGTTCTGAAAGCCCATCTCCCGACCGCTGTCGGGATGCTTACATCGCAGAGCCCGAGTTCAAAGCACCGTGACTGCACTCTGGCAAGGCAAGCGGTCATCTCCCGATCTGCCCCAGAACCATGTAAGTAGCTAGTTCCTTCTGTGTCATCCTGTGCTGCCTTTCCTCTGTGGATACCAGTCCCCCTCCTCAGAGTCGCAGCCACGGCACGGGAAGTCGCCAAGCTCAGGAGAACCTTTGTGCATTTCGGGAGCTGAAGCTACACCGGGGCTTCAAGCGGAATGGGCCATGGGCAAAGAGAGGTGCTCGAGACGTGAGCTCCGCGGCCTAAGCTATAGAAAGCCGGGTGGCTCAGCGAAAGCTTAGCCTCACCAGATCCCACGATCACTGGCCGGAAGAGAACGTCCACCGTGGCTTCTGAGTTGGGCGCCACCTCTAGTCGGCAAAACACAAAAAAGCTCTCCTTCCCCTCGGTCCGTTGTCCTTGGATTATCGCCGCTTTAGCAGCCGAGGTGCGGAGAACTCGTTCTGCGAGAATCGGAAATCCTGGTGTGTGGCCTGGCACTTGAACTTCGCCACGGAAGACAGTGGGTTCATGACCTTTCAGGGCATCATCTGACAGCCCTCTTCTAGCCTTTTCCTTGCGGCCCCCGCCGATATGGATCGCGTAGCCACTTGACGGCAAACAGTGTTGAAGCGGAGAGTGTCGATGGATTTCGGCGCCACAAACTTGAAGCTGATCTCATAACCAACAAATTCGTCCTTGTCAAGCTACTGAGCATGTCTTGGCAACGGGGAAGGCGAGACAGGTCTCCAGAAATGCACTCCAAGACATGCCTGTGACTGTCTGCCGCGAGGGTTCGGTCTTCGGATTGGTGAAGACAATCCGTACAACGGCGGCGCCTTCTCTGTAAGCATAAACGTTGAACTTGTAGTCCTTTGCTTGTCCTGCCGGCACCTCATAGAATCCAGCACAAAGCCCTAGCTCCAAAGCCGCATGCAAGACGCAAGCAATCAGCCGAGAGCTTGAGGGGCTGGCATCAAAGGTGCCGATGCCATTCAGCTTGATCTCCTGTCCGAAAAAGGAAACCCTGCCATTCAAACTGTTGCTGCTGTCATGCTGCGCCTTGGTGGGTTCACGAGACTTTGAGCAAGCGTTCGGCGTTCGGATACATACTACCTTCTTTCTTCGATGCACTTGCTACCGGGGCCGTGCTTGGCCCCCGTTGCTGACCCTCTAACTGTCGGATTACTGTCGCTGACAGTCTGAAAACTCCAACACCGAAGAACCCAAGTGCAGCCTCTGTCGCTTCGGCTGGTTGCACCAGGTTAATCTCCACATGGAAGCGCTGGTTCTGCTGAAGCCAGTTGGTCAGTGGAATGCTCCTTTGCTGACTGTCCATCGCAGGTCGATGCTGCACAACCGGAAATAAGCCAACTCAACCTGTCAGTCTCACCAGTCCACCTGCAACTGAGCCTCTGGACATGTGGCGTCTTGCACTGCACTTCCGCCGTCAGCTTCTTGTCTTGGCCGGGAGGGTTCGAAACGCCTGCAATGCAACGCGACGCCACCATCTGCTGATGCTAGGCCGCTAGGCTACGTCAGTCAGGCTATCACAAGGCGCAGACAGCGCCATCAAAAACGCATTGCCGCTCTCATGGGCGACGTCTGCCTTCCAGCGTCCACACGAAGGCGCTTCCGTCCGGCGTCGAAGCAAAGAGCCGGCCAACGTGCTTCCTGGCAGCGCGTGAACCCGGCTGACATGTCATCCTGGAGGCCGCTTCCAGAACTTGTGGCCAAGCTTCGCTGGGACGGGATCCTTCTTCTTGCCCTTTGCTGGCGACGTATCTTCATCCGCCTGAGTCCATTCCTCTTGCCAGACTCAGAGGGAAGATCTGAGCACCTGCCTCTGTGGCCGCGCGCGTCATGGTGAGGGGCCTGTAGGTGATGGGGATGGTCGCCTGCCCTCCGGCCGGCACTGTGATCCTCAGGCGCAGAGGCGCACAGAGGTGCTTGCTGCTACGAAAAAGCCTGCAGCTCGACCTTCGTATCCGAGGCACTCTCCAGGGCAGGAGAAGAACGTCTCACCCGCAGGAATCTCTGTGTTGATCACTGGCCGGACCTGGCACAGAGTCTCATGCCTACTTGCCCTCCCTCCAACCTGCGCAAGTTTCTCCCACTCCCGCCTTCCATGGCTCTGAACTCGTGTTCTTCCCGCTAGGTGGGAATGTGACCCTCGGCAAGAAACGACCATGTTAGCAAAGCTGTGAGGATGCGCATTCGAGACTCCAGGGCGGATGTGGCTGCTGTTTCTGCTGCTGAGGCACTCTTGAGTTTTCCTCTCTCGCCTCAGTCTCACTCATTACATTAACAGACCTCCCGCAGAAGAGACAAGAAAGTGTGATCTCTTGGGAAGCACAGGCACACTTCGGCCGAGAACTGCAGTTGCAGCGCGGAGTCTTCGGGCTGTTCCATGCCATTTCCCTGGACGATGAGCTCGATTGGCTCCTGCGGGACACACTGGAGGCTCCTTTCCGGGCATCCAGAAAGTCTAGGGGTTTAGACGGTTTGGGGTTTTTTTTCCCAGCCGCTTCGCTGACTAGGTCGCACAGCAGGGAAAACCCAGGTTTGGGGGTTAGGCGGTTTAGGGTTTAGGGTTTATGCGAAAAGGCTTCACGGCCTGCTGGTATGGAGGATCCAGGAGGCAGCGCAGTCGCTTTGGCTGGGAATCCGATCCACCAGACCTTCATTTCCGGGCCCCTTCAACCGCTCTTGCTGCTACACCAGTACGTAGCAAAAGCGAATGCAGAAGGAAGAGAGGCCTCTGCGGGTGGAACTTCACCTGGAGAAGGACATCGTCTCGGGGAGCCGCATAGCCCTCAGAGCGAGATCGCGATTAGAGGCAGACATCTGCGCAGGGCCGTGGCCTCTGAAGGCTCCACCGAGAAGGTGTTCAGCAACTTCGTAGGCACGTCGAAGCGGAACTTCACACCCAAGTCTCCGAAGTTGTGGAGATGAACGCGCTTGGTACTTGTGGCACCGAAGACGACGTCACCAAAGAGGAGGGAATGCCTGTCGGCTGAAGCGGGCAAGGAGGATTGGCAGGTTCCAGGTTGCGTCTGCTCTTGAAGATTGCGGCCGAGCCGCTCAGACAAGCGCACTTCGGCAGCATGGCAGCTGCCAGTGACGTGACAAATCTGCATGTCGATGCCGAAGTTGCCTCAGCAACACCCCCGTCTCTTTAGCGGGCCATCCCCAGGCCCACAAGGGCCCAGTAGCTGCTTCCAAGCTGCAGCTGGCGACCAGCGGCAGCTTGAAGACCGGCATTGGGAAGGAGGGCTTGTAGCGCAGCTCGAAAGATGTCTGCTCTTTCGGCCTGGAAGAGCCGGGGCGGTAAAACGACCAGCGAGTGCTTCAAAGGTACATGGGTAGTTCTCTGAATTAGTGTCCCTTTTTGGGTCCCCCCCAAATAATCCCGCACCCTGATAAAAAAGGACCCTAAAAGGGACCCTAATTTAGAGAACTACCCAGATGCCCTTCCAGGCCCAACCTCAGCTTCACGGGCATTGTCGGGGACCAGGAGACGCACTTCTCGGCCAGCTTGCCATCAGCATCTTGAAGGGAGAACTCCACAGGCCGCACCGACCGGTTCACCACTCGCAAGCTGCGGCTGACACCTCTCCAGGAGATCGGGCCACTGAGTTTAACGGAGCTTTGACTCCAAGTTTGGACATCATGACACGTTGGAGCCCACGCTCGCTATTGCGTGAGCTGCCGGTTCAGGACTACGGGGCCGGGACAAGAAGGGATGTTTTCATATCTGACAGTGATATCCGAAGGCGGGCTGAAGCGGCACCTGTGTTGCCAACAGCCACACCGAAGTCCACGTTCTGCATGGCCAACGAAGCAGCTTCTAGCTGGAGGGGGCAGCCCTGACCTGCATCACAAGGCAAACACCCGGCATGCCTGCAAGCCTGGATGCAAGGGAAGGAAGGCCTCGAAGGTTTATGTAGTACTTGGTGCAGTCGTTCACGACGAACTCAATACCTGCAAAAAGAAGGACTTCGGTTGTGGCCGACACGGCGGCGGCGAAAGCAAAAGGCCGTTTACGTTTACGCAGTCCAGCTGCACTCTCGATAGTCGACGTAGTCCTTCGGAGTAAAGATAATTGGCACCACAAGGGACCTTGCTCCATTGCCGCCAGGTTCAAAGTGAACGTCCCGAGACTACGTCGTGCATCACTGCTTCTTTACCATCAGGTCTAGTCAACTCAGCTCCACTCGAACCAGCTTCCACCATGGATGCCGGCAGCTGCACATCCAGATAGCTCGTTCGCTGGAAGGTCGTGGAGAGCCAACAGTCCGTCATGCCTGGAAACACTCGAACAGCTCATCCCAAGGCATGCAAAATTGGTGCCGCTTGCTCATGTCGAGCTCCTGCTGTCTTCACCCCCAACCGGCTTCGATGCATGAACAGAACACCCAAAAGCAAATCGGAACATCCAACATACATCGAAATGGACTCCACCTTCCTCAACACTTCTGCCTCGATTGGTGACGGTGAGGTCCAGCCGCTCCAGAGGCGTTTTCCCTTGGGAGGGCTCGCCGGCGCTGGCCGCGGTTCCTCGTTTGGGCTGAGGCTTTCAGATGCTCCGGACGGGAGACATTGATGCATACTGGCATACTGGTTGTCGACAGCCAGGCGGCGCTTGACGAAGCAGGGCCCGAAGTCGTGGTTCTGCGTGGAGAAATCCAGCATCGGCCTTCCGTCGTCTGCTGCGGTGATCTTGAAACGTCGATCTGTCGGAAGGCGGAAGGCCTGTAGGCACGGCCGGCCAGGCCCAGGGTGTAGCTGGCATCGTCAGGGCCTGCCGTGTCTCTGCTGTGGAAGCCTTTTTCAACTCTAACTCTAACCACATCCCGGCCTGAGGGGATGAGCATTCGCAGGGAGGCCCCATCCAACTTGTGTGCATCGGTGGGCGAGTACTCGATGGTGATGACCTTAGCGCCACAACCAAGAGAGAGAGCGAGAGAGAGCGAGCGAGCTCTGCCACTCGAGGGCCCAAGCGGTCTCGCCATCTTGTGTCGCCACCCCGTGCACAGGCGTAATCGTCAGGTAGGGTGGCACCTCCGCCTGTGGGGTCATCAGCCGGCCGGTCGCGCTGCGCAGTTGCCAGATGAAGTCGTAGCCTCACATGATCCCAGCAGTCAGTCGGCAGGAGCAACGAAGCCTAGCACCGTTCGAAACCAAGCAACTCACGGCAACTTGCTCATCTGCTGCTTCTGCCGCTGCCGCGTGATCCCGCTCGAAGGTTGGGCTGCTGAGCTTCAAAGTGAAGCTTTGCCTCTCCTGCACCTGCGAAAACTCAGGGCGCAACATGGCAGCTACCAAGGCTGCACCAGCAGTCCCCTGCGACTCGCCTGCATATCCCCAAAGTCCAGAAGTTCCTCAGTTAGAAGGCCGCCCGGTGATCAGGAGGAGCTCAGGATGTCTCTTTTAAAAGCAGCACCAGAGTGTCACAACAACTGCTACGAGCTCAAAACGGGAGATGCCGCTGTTGCCGCCAGGCTTCCTTGACGCCAGGGTGTAGAACTCTGCCTTCTCGATCTGCTTCCTCCAGAACGAGCTTCGTGTGGATTTTGTAGCCTCCGGGACCAGGCCATGAACCAAGGCCAGGGGCCAAAGATTCCTCGCTTGCCAAGGCCTCGCCTTCTCCTTTGATGTTCAGGAGGAGGGGCTTCTCCTTGCGCTTGATGTTGCACACAACCTCGGCACAAGTCTGCAGCCGTGCAGACCTGTGATACAAAGCGGCCTGCAGCCAAGCCACATTGTAATTGAAGAAGCGCTCCTCGTTCGGAGAGAACTTCACTTCGATCGGGAAGGATGCACCTGAGACGCTCTGGACCCCTGTGCCTGCAAACAGCAGCGGAAAAGCCAAGAGCCCACGACCTCCCAAAAACTGCCTTTGACAAATCTTAAGATGCTGCGATGGGGGCCGGGGCCAACAACGCCAGAGTCCGGGGACAGGGAGATCGCCGCCGGCCCGTCCGCTTCGTAGCTCTTATGGTCGAAGGCAAAGCTGAAGGGCAGATGCTCCTGGGTAGTTCTCCAAATTAGTGTCCCTTTTTGGGGGGTCCTTTTTTATTAAGGGTGCAAAATTACGGGGGCCCAAAAAAAGGGACCCTAATTTAACAGAGAACTACCCTCCTGGCGGCTTCGGGGGAATTAAGTAATTAAGGGGGAAGTTGGGGACCCAGAGCAGCGGGCGACCTGGCCTTGTTGACGATGCAGACCTTCTCGATCGCTTTGCCACCAAGCAGAAGACGGTTGAACTTGATGCAGGGGCGATCCAATCCTGAGCCCCAGTGTTGGGGGAAAAGCGAGGAAGGACGGACTTTTTTGCTTCAGCTTGAAGGGGCTGGGGCGGTTCGCCGACGAGCCGAGCGGCCCATCCGCGGTTCCTTCACCGTTCCCACCAGGACGAAGGCTTGGGAGGCCTGCTTGCCGGGCACGGAGAAGAGCCACCGCGACTCGTGGATCTCCGTGTCCTCACGAAACCAAAAGAGTCATCGATCGCGCGCAGCTTTGCCAAACATCAAACTTGCATCCGGGCAGCTGCTGGCAAGTACTCGAAAAGCATCTCGTACTTCTTCCCGGGGAGGATGGTGCCCCGCCTTAAGGGCGCAAAAGGCCGGGTGGACGGGGTGACAGGGGGAATCACCCTGAAGGGCTGTGCGGCAAGACATGAGCGGTTCTGAGGGCATGGCTTCGTGAGGCAACGGAAGGGGTCCTCAGTCTCCCTCTTGTCAGACTCTTCGGGCATCCAGTGGAACTCGTAGGTGTCGGAGGTGGGGTTTAGCACCTGATTACCAGCACTCGGTGCAGCAAAGCCCGGCACCCCGTAGCTGTTCCAGCCAAGGAGCATAAAACCGCTTGGTGTTCCGTACCCGCGTGCCCAGCGACTCGAACTCAATGACCTGCAGAAAATGCGAAGACGCCTTCTGGGTCTTGCTGCCGCCATGATCCGATGAGGTAGCTGGTTCACCGAAGCCTGGTACTTCGGATCCAGAGGCGTCTCCGCTTGACGTCGTGATCTGTAGTCGCTGTTGGGGACCTGGACGACTCCAGCAGACCCCAGCCAGATGTCTGCTGCTTCCAATGTATTTACACCATCGACTGCCGCTCCACGATTGCTCTACACCACACCGACTGCCGACCTACGATTGCCCTCGACTAGACAGGCGGAAGCAAACTGAGACCGATCCAGACCATACAGGGAAGAGACACACTCCGATCGCTTTGGCCTCGAAGTGGCACCAGGGTCGCAGAGCAGAAGCTTGCAAGCGGATGCGAAGCGGATCCTCCGGAAACGACCAAAGACTTGCTAGCGGCAGCGCCTAGTGATGTGCCTGCTGCTCCGGCTGCCCATCGGCTAAGAACTCTTGAATTGCGCAGCTCTTGGGGTGCTTGCCCTTTGCTACATCGACAGCACAGATAGACGGATGGAGCGAGCGTGCGCGTCAAGGCAGACCCATGGCAGTGTCATCTCGCTCCTGGATCGGCATCCGACTGTCCTGAGCATTGGACGAGAAGCTGAAAGCTGACCTACTAAGTCACTCTGCAAGTTTGCATCCAGCTGGCCAGAATCCCGGCGAAGTCGTGCACCTCCTTCGGCGCAAACCGAATCTGGAACTCCTGGGCGCTGCCCGCTGCAATCGTACCTTCATCGGTCCAACTTGAAGCAACATCCAAAGATTTTTCTTATCTTTGCTTCAGCATGGTGCCTCGAACGGGCGTGATGGCATATGCTTGCGACCCAGTCGAGGCATCTGCCTTGGAGCATTCGGCAGCGATGCCACTGCGTTTTGGCTGCATGTTGTGCTCTAGGCCAGTCCACTCTAGGCCAGTCCACACCCTTGCTTCAAGACGCATGACGAGCACAGCCAAGCAACACCACTCGCTGGAAGGATTCGCCAGTTGTACGGAAGCGCAATCTTCGAAGGGTTTGCTACCTGCAGCGGCTCAGAGCCCGCTATGCACCCAACTTCCCTTGCCTTTCTCCTCGCCTAGAATGGCCTAGAAGGCCCAAATTGAAAAACCACCTTGTCCTGTCGTCCCTTTTCCACAGGCTTGAACTGAGCTCGCCCGGCCAAGCGACAGGACCTAAACCCTAAACCCTAAAACCACCTTGTCACGACAGGAGAGCCCAACCATTTGCCTGTACTTAAACCCGGTGGCCGGGCCTCGTGCGGCACACCCGAAATCTCTACAGCTAAGCCCTAAAGGCCTTAAACCCCATAACCCCAAAACCCCAAAATTCAAAACCCAAAACCCCAAAACCCCACAACCCTAAACCCCATAACCCCAAACCCTATAACCCCCTAAACCCCTAACCTGCAGCCTTGGGGCTGTGAAGCGATGCAGCCGGGTCTGGAAGAGGACGGTCGGACTGAAGTGTATCCGCTCCGTCCCGCAGTCGTAAGCCATCTGGTCCGCCGCCGCCAGGATCCTCGGGGCTGCTCGCTCTCTCCCCACACTGCACGAAAACCGCCTCAAAATGAACATCCCTTCCGGTATGCACATGTGTAGTGTATGTACCTCTGCAGGGCTGGCTGGCTGGCTGTCCCTTTGCAGCTGTGTGCATGTGCGCATCTGTGCCTGGGAGACTGATGTGGAAAAGTGCTGTCATCGAAATTCGAAACTCGGAACCAGGACCCCCTTTTTGCGCTTCTGAAAGCTGAATCAGACCTCGGGCTGCCTCGCCTCAGCGGCATTTCGCGAGCTGTGCCTTCCACCACCGCATGTGCAGGCTCGGAGACCTTGCCGGGGCAGCTACATGAAGAGACACCGGCTGCAAAAGTTGACAGCGCATCAGGCTCTTTCGAGCGTCTAGTCGTGGTCCTATTCTCTCATAATGTCTCTTCCATACTTGCAGGGGACTCCTAAAGTGAGCGAAACCTGTGGATGAAACCATGGAAGAACTGACAAGCGCACCGCGGCAGGCTCCTCTCCCTCCACTTCCTCCATGCGAGTGTCATCCCAGTCCTGACACGCCAAGCTCTTGGGACTTTTTTTTGCCTCCTGCCTGACTTGGACGAACCTACGATGCAGCGTCTCTACTGGCTGACCATCAGAGCAAGCTCGATCCACTTTGTTCATGCCGAGCCTTTCACAGTACGCGGGACCCGCAAAGTACCCTGCGGCTGTCACCGTGAACTTAGAGCCGACGATAAAAAGGATGCAATCGGGTGGAAGACATGCTCGGGTCCTGGACATCGCCATCCTGAGTGATGCCAGCCTCACAGGGTCATGGAGGGACATACTTGCAACGCTGCCATGGTTACAAGCATCTGCTGACCAGCTTAAATGATGAATGCATAGCCAAGGCACGACTTGGACCGGCAGGGGCACGTCTGCCTGCATGCTCTCGGTTGGGCGGTACGTGAAGCTGATCCTTGGAGTGGGGCATGTTCGAGACGGAGGTTGCCTTGTGTGCTATTGCGATCAGGGAGCGACTTCTTCATGCCAGGCAGTATATGCCCCACAGATGGAGTGATCCTTCGTTTAGTGGAGGCTTCAAGTTCGTTGCAATGGAAATGAATTCGGGGCCGGAATCTTTCTTGGACTGACATCAGACGAGCTGCTGCAGACAGTCTGACAGTGGTGCCGGCAGGGTCTCAGGAAACTGAAAGCGCAGGACATTTTTTCCGGAGTTGTTCAGCTGGAAGCTCACGACCTGGCGGCAAGCCACTCGAAACCAATCAGATTTGTGCCCAAACCGTGCTCCCTCGGCCTTCTCGCTGCCAACGCCTAAGGCGAGCGAACCATGGGTTCGGTTGCAGGAAGAGATCTCGCCGGTTTGGGGTTTTCTTTTGACACCTTTTTCCGACTGCAAGTTTGTCTGTGGTCGCCGGTTTAGGGGTTTAGGGATTTAGGGTTTAGGTTTGCCTGAATTCAGTCCAGATGCAGGTCTCGCCCAGTCGGAGCACGTCCGAGTCATCCTGCGCCGCGCCCTCTGGTGAGCTGTCACTGGGAGGGAGTTCCCAGGACACATCCTCCACGTAGCCCTGGCCCACGAAGGTGAGCTTCATGTCCTGATTGGGGGCAAAGTTGCGGAGCTTCACCCTTTAAATTCTGCTTGCACGTTGGCCTCGAAAGAGTTGTGCAGGGTGTGAAGCTTGAGAAAGGTGCTGTGGCTTCCCGACCTTCGACTGTCGAGGTCTGGGCGACGACTGCCGCCTACTCCGAACAGCACTGGCTGCCTCATCATGCACTATCTGCCGGCCAAGCAACTCCGTGGGGCAGAAGGTGACTTGGAATTTCTGCGTTGCCTTCGCGCAGGCATGGCAACAACTGCATCTCGCATGCATGCACATCCTGTCCGCACGTCCCTCGCAGGCCTTGGGCTCCAAAGGAATGCTCCGGGCACAACTCACCGTGAAGTGAGGGTTCGGCGTGAGATCCTTGGAGCCGCTACGACGGGGCATCTTTGGATATGGGAGCTTCAGCCAAGGACACCTAGAACCCCAAACAAAGGGTCCGGAAAGTGAAACCCCGAAACCCCGAGCTCAGCGTCAACCTGCAAGCAGCACCAAGTCAAGTCTCACATCGCGCGGTCGCTGGGATCACACCCTGGTTGGCCAGAGTGAATTCCACCACTTGCGTCTTTCCCAGCCGAAGCTTGCCGAAGTCATACCTAGGGAATCAAGCACGCAGAAGCTCGGTTGCATGCATTGAGCAATGATGAGAATGATAAAGGATATTTTCCCATAAGGATATGATATTACTGGTCTCCGCGAACCCGATGAAATCAAGGAGCTGCCCACCATCGTCCCCGAAGAGCGTAGGGCCCGTCATGGAAATGCTGGGAACGGTGCCGTCTCCTCGCATCCTGAGCTTTTTGGCTTGAGGAAATGGGATCGTTAGAAGAACAATGCAAGTCGCTCCAGGGAAGAAAGCTGGTCGAGAATGCATTTCTGGTGCCTTGCAGAAACTAAGGCAAGTTGCTCAAATTTCAGGTGGCTCGTCTTCGAGTCCTCCGGGTGACACCGGCGGGTATTGCCCAGCCACGTAGCCGGCTCAAGATGCATTGCAGGGATCAAAAAAGCCTCCCAGCTTTAGAGGAGAGCCTGCCCTCCAACTCCCCCCCGCCCTCAATGTCAAAAAGGTTACAACTGGCTCCGTCCTTCCCTTCTGGGACGGTCGCCTCGAAGATTGCAGAATAGCACTGGAGGCCCTGCCAAGTCCCAGAGATGGCGCAGCAAAACGAAAACACTCTGCGAAGCTCGAGCTAAGGACTGAGTGGCTAAACCCAAGCGTTCAGAGGTGTGAGACACAGGGTTTAGGGTTTCGAGGGTTTCGACTCACACACTCGCACGAAGCTGGCATGGCGGGTACTGGTGACTTCCCAAGCTCCACTCTCACGAGCAGAGATCCCGAGCTCATGGCAGCATCCACGCGCCGCAACTGTTATGATACAGTGATACAGCCCTCAGAACAATCTCGTATGAGAGACTGCGCACCTGCACTGTTTCAAAATAGTTTAGGGTTTACGCTCTCACAGCTAGGGTTTAGGGTTTAGGGTATGCCGCCGGAGTCACACTCCTGCCTGAGGCGTGAAGCGCACCTTCACATAACGATACTCGTGCGGTGGGATGTGCAACTCCTGCCAGGCAACAGTTGCTCCAACACTTCGACAAGGCTGAAGTGCTCCCCCCAAGTCCTGGTTCGAGAGCTCGAAAGGAAGCACGGGTACTTCTTTACCAGTTGGAGCTATCGTTGGCTTGATGTCAAACCTTAGCGCAAGTTCTGGCTTCAGCTCATTTTAAGTCACCCCTGCTGGGCGAAGTCTCTCGCACCATACAACCGGCCAATGCATCTGGAGCGCTTGACATCGCACGGGATGGGGTTCCTCAGCTTCTCGACACTGAGGAACATCTCCAATGTAAAGCGGGAGGTCCCCACCCAAAAAGAATGCTGCCAGTTCCGTTGGGCAGGTGCCGGAACAAAAAAATTGCAATGACACCCCTGAATCACCATCACCATGATCCAACAACATCGGCGGTCATCATGATCCATCTGTTCCAGGCATGAGGGCCAAGGGGCGGATTTGTGATCCGGAACTTGGCTGGCTCTTGCCGGTCAGATGGCCCTGCGTGAAAGTCAAGACTCTGACCTTCGGGCCTCCTTGTGCTGGGCTGCTCGGCTGCTAGGCCCGCTACCCGCGCCTTGCAGTGAGACGGGGCCGAAGGAGAAGTAGCGGGCCTCCTCATCGAAGGCGCGGATGTCCACGCGTCCCGCAGTCGCCTTTGCTGCTTGCAGCTTCGAGCCATTCGAGTACGAGAATCTGGCACAGAGATGCCAGCAAGGCACGATGGCATCTTCCAGCGTGGGTGCCACGAACTGCTCCTCGAACATGGACTGCATGTTCTCCGTGTCGATGCCTGCAAAGGGCTGGAACTTAGGATGAAGAAACGCTCTGAATTCCGCGGCCTGGCGTGCAACTCTGGGCCGTCAGGATGTATTCCCGGAAGCCCTTGTCACCAGCCTCGGTTCTGCCCTCTGCACCCCTAAGCTACGGAAACAGTCAAGCTGTGTCTCGGGCGTCGCCAGCAAAGGCATCATCCCGACTGCCTCCGGGGAGTAAGGGATGACACGAACACTGCTAGTAGAAAGAGCTGAGAGCTACTCATCATGAAGACGGCATCAGTCATGCAGCTCCTCCTCCTCCGGACCGGGAGTCATCTGGCAGGCCATCCACGTGGATGCCGATCTTGTGCTCACCTACCGTCTCCAGCTTTTATTGCTGAGGCATCTTTTCACATGATCTTTTGCGGCTGTGCTGCAGAACTTTGGCTCCGTGGCCGTGAAGGTCCCCACGATCTTCACTTTGTCTTGAGGAGCCAAGGAACCTCCGCTCACTGGACCGGCTGGCGTTATGCCAACAATGCAAAAAAAACACAGAGTACGCTGACTGCAATAGTAAGCTTAGAAGTAATAACATTAACAAACAAGAACAATTACAATGCGTAGTACAAGCAATCGGTCCATGAAAACGTCTTCGGCCTTCTGCGGGGACGATCTTGAAGTCTCCCACCAAAAGCTCCCCCTTCTCCTGGGTTGACAGGGGCTGGGTCCCTATCGCTACATCGACTGGATCTCATCGTCTGGGTCTGCAGCCGGTTTCTTCATGTCCTCTGTGCCAATCTTCATGTTCGTGGCATCAAAGATGAACCAATCGAATCTCGGGGATTTCGGGCAGGCTATTGAACTGAAGACTCGCTGCAAGATCTTCCTGCTGCCCTAATTTTAGAGAGGGGCTTGAAGGGGCCGTCATTGTAGATCTCAAACTCCCGGGTGTTCGATTCCCCGATCCTGGGGGGCAAGCGCTTCCAGGGCTGCCAACAAGCCTTTTGACATGCTGTCGCATACGGCGTCTGCGTCCGGAGCACTTCACAGGACCGAAGCTCAAACCTCGAGGTGGCGCGAGGTTGAAGGAGTTGTGCACCTGACGGATCCCGGAACTTCTCCCGTCTGCAACCTGCCGTTCGCAGCTCTGCCAAGCGACTGCCCGCAGGGTCAGCGGGATGAGAGGTGTCTCCAGTTGCACACGCTCACCTGTCCAAGAACCCTTTTGAGCCATTGTGGATACAAGAAAAACCGTGCCTGTCTTGGCTTCGTAGACCAACAATTCCAGCTCCTGCGATACTCCCGAGGTATTCTTGACTCTGGAGGCTTCGCAGGAAGCAATGTTCTCCTCGTTTTTGCCCGTCCGGGCAAATCGCTTCGGCTCCGGGCACTGCATTGCTACCGGTGCGACCACCGACACCTCGCGAGAAGAGACACTGGCGCAGGCAAACGGCAAGGTGGCAGGGCCTTGATGGCTTGTTTCTGTCCGGGCTGCAGCTCTGGGAACTTGCCCTCCTCGCACGCGCTGGGTTTCTTCAGAGACAGGACTGCCATCAGCATCTACATGTATCAGGTTCCCGTTCAGATATTGCACTCCGAACACCGTAAACACCCGCAATCCTCCGGAGGAGTGCCATAGTCAATCTTCATTATGTCTTGGATGGCTCTGCGCCGGATCTTAATATCAAAGTTTACGGGGTACTTGCCGTTGTTCGCCACATTGAAAGTCTGCTCCACAGTTGCTCCAACTCGCACATCTCCGAAGTCCAGACCCACACCATTGTTGGGAAATTCTGGCACCACGTCCACGACGAAGGCCTCTGCCATTACCTGGATCTCAGCTGCGTTCTCAAATTTTCGCAGACCTTCCGTGTCTGAGATCTGCAGGGAGAGGCCGAACTTGTGCGAGCACGCGGTATCAGACCGGAAAACCACCACCACGTGCTTCTCCTCTGCAACCGCAAGGATTCCTGGGAACGAAGAAGGCGTCATCATGCGTCATACAATGGGAGCAGAAGCCAAGGCCCCAGCCCTCCATGGGCTCGATCTCGAAGGCTTCAGGGACGGCGTTGGCCGCCTCGACACTCCCCGATGCCCCGAAAGCCTGAAAGTAAGACCTCCCCTTAGGCCATCTCCCTCTCTGGCTCTGGGGTGTCGCCTCCAAGCGCCACTTCACGGGCACGGCGGAGACGTTGGCCACCTCAAAACCCGAAAAAACAGAGGCTTGTTTCAATTCCCCGGCAGATCCCCCCGGCCCCTTTTCCCCCACCTTTATCCCGTTGGACATGCGCTGCTTGACGAGAATGCGGTCGAAGTCCAACTCCGTGGTGTCCAAAGTCACCTGGCGACCCACTGAGGGCCTGAGGGCCTTGCGTAGGGCCCATGGCGCAAGTCAGCTGCTTTCTCGAGTGGTGGAAGACACTCGGGCAAACCAAGAACAGACTACCCCTGAACCTCAGCACGAAAAGTCACTCCGGTGAGGTTGCCTTGGGGAGGGATCCGATGGCGGCGATGGCAAACTCCACGGGATCCGGGTTGTCCGTGATCTTGGCGATGATGGTGTCGGTGTATGTCCCCTCCTTGACCTGCGATGCCATGAACTCTTTGGCTAAAAACACAATAGGACTCGCGGCTCTCGGAAGTCTTTATCAGCACTTCATTTCTGAGGGTCCGGGCCGGGAAGCAGGAGACCTTCAGCTCCTTGGTCTCCCCCACCTCCAGCTCCAGCTCGGAGGGCTCTACCAAGAAAGGGTACTCCTCAGCGGGACTGGGACTGAAGGCCCTGGGAATGGGGGGGGGGGGGGACCTTGAGGGTTTCGAGGTTGGTTCGGGTTTGGCACTCCAGGGGTTCTTTGGTAGTCGCTCCACACTCTGCCTAAACGATACCGACATCACGCGAAATGGCATGCCAAACCTCGCCCACTTCCACCTAGCTACATCCGCTGCCCCGGAGAGAAAAGACTTCGCCTCGTGCTGAAGAGCCCTGGCCTCTCTGTCTGAGTATCTTTGGATTCTTATGACGCTTCCCTGCAGGCTCCTCGAAGGCTGTGGGCGCCGCCTCCCCTTTCTTCCCTCCTGCAGCTCGAGGCTTCAACAGCTTCAACAGCCTCCGTGCCTATGCCTCGATGAAATATCAGCCTCAAGCAGGCAATCACAGCCAAAAAAGCATGTCAAGAACAGATCAGAACTGTTATACCCTCTCCTACCCACCCCGAACCTGAAAGGAGCGCTGCTACCGATGTTTTTCCACGGCCGGCAGTCCAGGAGGCTTCTTCCCAGGGTCTTCAGCCGGTGGCGCTGAAGCCGAGGCCAGAGCGAAAGCCACGTCTGCCTGGGGCCGGGCGGGGCTCATCCTCTTTTCTTAGTCTTTCCGAACAGAAATTCCCACCACCTTGTATGTGTGACTTTCAGACAAACAGATTCATGTCTGTCTACCCAAACACCTCAAAGGCCCACGGCCCACGTCCCTAGCAGGTCTAAACCCTCTGCGGCTCTGACCTTGAACAGGGAGTTGTTGGTGATGCGGAAGTTCTCTACATGCTGCTTCACGTGTGGATCTGACCTTGGCATGCGTTGGAGGCGCCAGCACGCTAGAGCATTCAGTCAGACATACGTGTACACAGACCTCATCACGCAATCTCACACGCATTCAACTTTGGAGCCTTGGCCTTGGAGGCTTGCCTGGTGCTTCCAATCCGACTCGTCGGCGTGTCGCTACCCCACTACGAGCAAGGTGACTGCAAAGTTAAATCACAGTCCCGGCCGAGCAGCGCAGCATCTGCCCGGGAATCTGCGCTGCGGCCGATGAGTAGTGGCCCAAACTCGAAGACGCCTCGGGAAGAAACGATGAGACGGCCATGGGCCGGTGTTGAAGATTGAAATTGCCGAGGAGCCGGTTGAGAGTATGAACTGCTTCGAAGCATATCCACTTGCTGGCTTCATCTTCGCCCGCCGGGTGAAGACATTGCGTGGGTCACTGCTGATGCCTCTTGCCGAACGCAACGAAGAGAAGCCCTAAGCCCTCTCTACCCGGCTCTGGCAAAGGCGATTGCACCCCACCTGGGAAGGCCGTGATCCCTGAAGCTGCAATCGAGACCGGCGCGTTGTTGTTGATTCCTGCTATTCGCAGGCATCAGCGAAGTCAGTGAACAGGAGAACCGGCAGACAAACGCCTCCAACCACCTCGAAGCAAAGCGCAGCCTGGTACGTTCCAATGTCCTGCCGCACACAGAGACACACAAGGAGAGAGAGAGAGAGAGAGGGGCACACTTCTAGGAAAGCTCGTTGTCGTCATGCTGACAGAGCATGCTGTGAGGTGTGAGGGGTGAGTCTAAGCAGGCAGTATCAGTAAGGGCCACGAGCCAGGGCGCTATGCATCGGACTCACCCCTTCCTTCAAGACCGGGCTGCGACTAAACTTTGCCTGCAGCAGCACTCGGCTACGGGCAAGCAGTGCATAAAGGCAAGTGTGCCATCACAAGCTGGGCATTCAGGTTTCGCCNNGTGGCCATGTTGAACATAAGTTTGGAGGACACCCTCGCACAGTTCACCATGGCGGCTGGCTGCAAGAAGATGCTGGCGTTCCAACCGTGCGGCATCAAGCAGAGCAGAGGCTCGTCAGGCACCACAAGGTTTGGAGGACACGCTCGCATACGTCACCGTAGAGGAGTTTGCGGCTGGCTTCATGTTGGCTTTCCACCTGCGCGGCATCAAGCAGAACAGAGACTCGTCAGGCGAGGACGTCTGGCAACCGTTGCACGACTTACGGACAGGGGTGACGCACAGACGCCGAGGCCTTCGATTGTTTAGGCATCCCGGGTATCTTAACCGTGTAGGGCCTCATCTGATACCCATGAGGAAGATTCTGCACTTCTTAGGTCCGATATGTGGATCGTATATTGTCTGGTGCTTTGATCGCCGATTCATCCTTCGTTTGCCGCGCATGCTCCGGCACAGTCCATGTGTCATCTTTGATATTGTTGTGGGGATGGGGCGGCTTTTCTGTTTGCTGGTTACATCCCACCCCTCTTTGGTGAGCGCATTTAATGCTGCGCCACCGTCACTTATAATTGAAAGCAGTTCGAATGAATCTTGCTAGGCGAGCGTCGTTTGCCGACTCAACCGCAGAGAATGATCATGAATGATCCACTCTGTGCAAGCTACTCTTGGCTGATTACAACTGCACCAGTGGTCACTGCAGTCAATGACTGCACCAACTTGTAGTTGTATGCTCCTGGAGCCTAGTGCGGGTACGGGCTGCTCGGGAGCAAACGACCCGCGAGCGCAAAACCTACTCAGTTTCAGAAGAAACCAGAAATGGGCACCAGCCGTCGTTGTGGCGCACGCGACGATCCGCAAGAGGCAGCAAAATACCTATCGACCTATAGCACCCTGCAGACGACGGCTCCTCCGAGAAGAACTTCAAGAGGAGCCGCACTTTCCCATGAGGCTCAATCAACCACCGGGTGGGCTGCATGACGTCCTTAGAGCATCGCCGAGCTGATCCTTTGGCCCAATAACGTTTTCAATGAGATTGACCGGCCCTGGTGAGGTCATGCCGAGCATCCTCCGCTGCCCCTTTGCTGTCGCTCCTGAGTCCCAGCAGCGTGAGCAAAGCAGAAGCGAAGTAGGAAGTACAACCTCTCATATCAAAACACGCATTGAAGTGGATGCCCCCGGAGGCCCAGGCCTTGGCTCCTCCGCCCCTGGCAGCGCGGGCACGAGGAAAGCGTGTGACTCGCACTTCTGATCTGCGCCGAGGCCCAGCTGGGAAGTCCCCTGCCTCCCTCCTCGGCCGGTGTGATCAACGAGAAGCGCTCCACGGCAGCTCGCGGAAGGCGCAAATGCGGCCTCTGCACCACCTGGCGAAAGAGATCTTCAGATGGAGAGGGAAGGCTCGAAGCTGGAGCAGCTGGAGCTGAGCAGCTGCGCCTGTGCAAAGGACGGCGGAGGGATGGGCGGCTCCTTCGGGATGCAGGGAGGAGGCCTCAGCACAGCCAGTGCCGGACTGAGGGTTTCGGCAAGGCAGGTCCACCGTGCGCCGGGCACCATGTCATCAAGCATCGCCCGGAGCTTGGGGAAGTCTGGCCCGGTCTCCTTCCAGGCAAAGAGCTGCAGCTTGTTATCCCTCCGTTTTTCCTCACAGCTTCGGCCTCGAAGCTGGACTCGAGGCCAATGGCTGCAAAGCTTGCAAGGGGCTGCAAAGGCTCCGTCGGTGACTCGGCCTGTGCTCAAGGCGCCATGACTGGCGCCCATGCGTGAGGCGCTGCAAAGTGGGGAGAAGCTGAGGCGGTCTCAACTGCGGGCTGCACCGTCTCTTCTTCGGGCACTCCTGCAGAACAGCGAGGGGCCGATGAGGGAAACATCTGAGGGCCATCCGCTCGCGTCCTGGAGTGCTTCCGGGTGCCGGAGATGTGGCGGCCTCCGGCGTCTCTGCAACCGGGGCCGGGCCTCTGCCGAAGGGCGTCGGCTCTGCAGGCGCTTCCGCTTCCGAAACTCCGAGGCTCCGACTTCCCGCTCCGCCCTCCGCCGAGGCGGAGCCCTCCGCAGCCTCCGCGACCTCGGCCTCCTCTGGGGATGCGGCCTTTTTTGCACACGACATGAAACCGGGTATACCCGCGTGCACCCGCTGCCCATTGCCTCTTCGCGTGGGCGGCGCTTCGAAGCCAAGAAGCTGGCCACGCTGGCCTCTCAAAGGCAACCGGAAGCCTGCGCGCCCGCGTCGCCGGCCCCACCTATAGCTCCCTGCCTCTACGGATGCCGTCACTTCGCGACTGCGGGACATCAGCGTCTCTTCCTGTCCCTGGCGGTCGCATCTCATCTCGGGGCAGGGCGCTCTCAGTGCGCGCACCAAACACGCGGCCCATGCCTCAAGCTTCTGTAGCTGCTGAAGCACATCGCGGGAACGCTGGAGTTGAGCTTCCAGATCCTCATGCTTGGCCTGTCACATTCCGGCTGGATGTGGAGCCAAGTCAAAGCAGAGGAGAGAACAACACTCAAACAGGAGGAAAAGAAGGCCAGCAAGCTTGAAGTTCGTGGACATGGTGCCACACTCCCTGGCCTTGGCTTGTTTGACAGCTTCTTCCATTTTCACCAGCTCCTCACGAAGATTCGCTTCCTCCGCTGCCTGACGAATTGCCATTTTGGGTCTTCTGCTGTAATACTAGAAGACGAGTGGCCCGAAAGCATCATTTGCCAAGAGTTTAGCGCTATGTAAAGTCATAGAGTCAAACACATAAAGTCATAGAGTCAAGTGCACAGTTTGAGTACAGAGAATCTAGTGCATAGAGTCATATTGTCACAGAGTGAAGTGCATAGAGTCATCAAGTACAAAGTCCAGGTTTAGAGTTTAGGGTCTAGGGTTCAGGGTAGTCGAT